GAAGTGCAGAAAATTATGTAGGTCCATCAGCATACCAAGAATGCATGTTCTCTGCCAGGAAGTAGCAGTGGTTCACATGAAGATTTAATTAGGGCTAGACAATGTCTTCAGATAAATGCCAGGTCTGAAAGAACAAAGATGTCAGAGAAGGTTTGGGGAGAGCTGAGAGTGGTAATACAAGGGATTTTTCTCTTTTCTCCTTCTCTTTATCTGGATAATGTCTGAAGCTAGACAGGCTTTTTATGTTAACTCTTTTGCTTAATGTGGGAAAGTAATGCTAGGATGAGCTCAGAGGATTTGTAATGGAGATGGATAGAGTCTCCTGCATCTAAAGTGCCAGTTTAAATGGCAGCCAGGTTCCTCATCGCTGAAAGCTACCTGTTTTTTTGACTGGCTTATATGGTAGCCTCTAGTTTCCAGTGGTGGCATAACAGAAACTGTATGAGCCATCACCGTGGCCACTAATTACAAACCTCACTAAATTTTTCTTTAATACTTTGATTCACACGTGGACACTGAACTGTCCTTACGTCTCTAGCAACGTCCTCTCCTGAGCAGAGGGGGTGGTTTTCGAAAGGGCTGTTGTATGGAAGGCAGTCAGCTGCTGTGGTGTGCTGAGGATATTCCTGAAACTAAAATCCATTCTGCCCAATCCATATTGCTTTTCACCTGGAGGTTGCAGTGAAGGGAGGTAGGTAATGGCATCATTTTACACGTAAGCTAAAAATCTCATCCAGGATTGTGTAGCAGAATCCATTACTTCCCAAAGGCTTTGTGAGCAAACGATGCTTTTCAGCATCCCACAGGACTTAGAAGAAGTCTTCATGGTCCCTTCACAGTGTTGCTTTCGTTGGTGGTTAGTGCTTCCTAGAAAGCCTCCTCAGGAAGATCCCTGAGCAGGGGCTGTGTGTTGTGGCTGGTGTGCTTCTGGTGTTTTTAAACGGTGCTTGGCGCCTGGTGAATCCAGCGGCTGTCGGCAGTGCTGGATGAGGAGCCCGGAGGGACACTGGAGCTCGCACTGACAGCTTGTGCTGCGCAGCTCTGGCCAGCTGAAGGGTGGCTGTGCCACCAGCCCTGGAGAACGTCTTTGTGAAAGCTGGAGGGGTGGAAAGCCGAAGAGACCAGAGGGTGGAATTGGGTGCCACGGGTTTCACAGGCTGCTGGGGATGTTGGGGCTGACAAGATCCCTTGTGGCATTGGGTGTTGGCCTGGTTGTTACAGCTGAACTGTTTATTTTTTCCTGTTCGTACTGTAAATACAATAGATTAGATCCTTAGAGGAAGACTATTTTGAAGAATACTCCTGATCTGTGAGGAGAAATACAGAAAGATGTGTAGTAAGACGGCAAAGACCGACTGCTTGCTATTGGGAGAGGGGCTGACCTGGGGAAAAAGCTGCAATTTACAGTAGCAGGAATTTGCCTTGAGATTCAACATCCTGCCATAAATTGTGTTTTTATCTTTCTTTGTTCAAGGGAGCCATCTTTAAAGTGTCACCACTCTATTCAAGGTTATTAGAACAAATACCCTTACTGTAGGTTAGCGAAAACATCTTAGATGATTAAAGCTGATTGAATTACAAGAATGTGGAGTACTGGTGACTTCTTTTTGCTCATTCTGCTTATTTGATATAGGCCATATGGCTTACACATGAGAACACAGTAAAACCAGTTAACATTTTGTAGTATTTTCTTTTTCACTCTGGAGACTTGGCAAAGGCTTCAGGAGAGTGTTTATTTGTTTGAATCCAAACAAAATCTTGCTGTTGCCCCCCCCCCCAGCTCCCTCAGGTGCGAAGGGCTGAGTTGGGGCAGTGATGTGTGAAATGGGCTGCTCAGGGGGTGACAGACGGGAGCGTCGAGGTCCATTTTGGTAAGGGCTCTGGACAGGGTTGTGTGTACTGCTGAAGTCAGCCGTTCTTGCTGCAGCCTGAAGTCTTCTTGACTCAAAGCCAAAGACCTCCAGGGAGAGAGGTCCAGCACCTGAGCTAAACACACAGAGACCTGAAAGTTAATTTTTAACAATACAGTAGAAATTAAGGTGTCCTGTATAACTGGGGGTGGGGGTGTTGATCAAACGATGCTGGTTTACATCCCCGGTCCCTGTTGGTGAAGGGAGGTTTGAATGAGGAGTGCTGGTCTGGGCACTCGCCTTGGAGTCTGTTTTCAGAGGAGGCACAGTGCGGTGATTTAATACAGAGTATTGTTTAAGGAGGCTACAAAACCAGGGTTTCAGCAAAAGATACAGAGGCACTTTATTGAAGCAACAGTGAGGCAGACAGCTTTTCAATTGATTTTTATCAAAGCACTTGCAGTTTCCATTCAAGGCTATTAAATTGATAATAAATATGGTGGACAGAGTCTCTTTCCAGAGCTGCTGTTTTGTTCCCCCCTCTTTTTTTCCTTTCCATAAAGAAGCACTTAAGGTATAAGAAACCTGAAGAAAGGTCTTAAGATTTTTCTGAGTCTTAGGGAAAAAAAAAAAGGTTCCTAAATAAATGAGTTGATGGCTACATGCAAGAACAGAGAGATGCATTACAGTGAGCAGCCCATGGTAATCCTGCAGGAGGAATTAACCCAGGCTTTGTTGTCCACATACACTATTTGCCTAATATCCCTTCAGAGTAAACTTAGTACTTTGCTGTGCTGCATGGAAAAAACATTTTTAAAGACAAACCTTTTCCCAATGCCAGAAGTCAGTGTTTAAAGTGCACGCTGTAACCTTAGGATCTGGTACCAATAAAATTACGTGTTTGCAGCATGCCATTGGGATCTGAATCATCTCTCTTTTCATTCATTGCATTATAATAAAATAAAAAGTCCTTTGCATTTACCCATAACCACTGAAGTATTGTGCACTGTTCTAAGGGAAGCTTTTCTCTGTACGAGATAGCAGCAGCTTTTCTTGCTATCGGATGCCCACAGTATATGCTGTATCAAAAAAATTAATTTTGCCTTTGCCTGCAATGAAGAGGGCACAAGAAGTACTCTCCTCAGAGTTTAAGTACTTTTATAGGTACTCCTGTAGCTGGTCAGTTGTTAAAAATCCAGCCCCCCACTGTTCATAAAGAATTGTGCTAGTCATGCAAAAAAGAGCCTGATAAAGTGCTTTTAGTTTTATAAGATTATTTGGATCTCCTTTCACTTCATGACAATGGATTATGTTGTAAGGAAAATCTCCATGAAATATGAAAATGGATATCTTTGCTTTTAAAGGAGCAAATAAATACTGAGTCATGAATCTGGCAACTTGGAGAAACTACATACATGTGTGAAGCTGGATAATTAGTATAATACTATTTAATACTAGGTTTCTAAGACTGGATTTATTTTATAGGCACAAAAGCAGATTGTAGTTCATGAAGGTATTATAGCATGTATTTTTGAGTAATGCAGTTTTATCTCTTCCAGCACAGTACGCTTAAATGTATATTCCATATGCTTCTAATATAAATCTATATGTGAGAGGTTGCAGTGTGAGGACAGCTCGTTCCCAGTTTGATACTGCTCTGTTCATGGACTCAGCAGATTTTCTAAACTGCATATTTAAAATATGCTTAACTAAAAACATAGTTAGAAAATCCCCACAGACCCTTCCAACTGTTTTCATATTTCATCCAAAACAATTTTCACCAAAAAATGAAGTATTGTGTGTTTTCCTTAGTTGAATTAAAAACAGTTTTAAAGTAGTCAGTTTTCCCTTTGATTTTGTAAACTCCATTGGATTTTTAATTAAGCACTCTTTGAAGGTGATCAAGGCATCTGGTAGTGGGGATAATGGTCAGTGGAGGAACCACAGCAGTTGTTGCAGAAATTTCGGTGAGATGATCGTTTGTGGGGAAGGACACTGCATGGTACCTTCAGGGCTGGTGCTCCTCAGGGTTGGCCTAGCAATGTCTTTCCTCGTCTGATATTTCATATTTTACTCTGAGTAAGTAATTGTATACTTTGTAGTTTAAAAATCTGTGCAATGTATCGGTGCTAGAACACAGGTGAGAAAGAAGCGTTGTAGGAGCCCTGAGAAGTTCGGAAGTGACCCGAAAGGCGAGCCTGAGTAACACGGATTTTCCCCCACATGATGAGTCTGCACAGATCACCACGAACTAGTTTTCAGTTTTCTCATTTGCATCCACCTGGGGTTACTAGGTTACCACGTGAAAGAAACTTGTTGCTGAGTATAAAAATGCTATCTAGAATAGATAGGCCTTATCTTCAGTATTTGCTTAGTCAGTCTGCTGACAGTTCACCATTGTTTGGCTCATTTGTTTCAGTTATCGTCAGTGGGAAAGGGCTCTTTTAAAACTGATGATTCTTGAGCACAAAAGATGCTGGTCTAAAGGCTTTGCTACAGCCTGGTCTCTCTTCCCTAAGGAGCAGGTCCTTTGCTACAGGTAAACGTGTCTTTACATAACTCATGGAGCCAGATCTTCCAATCTGTAGGTACTCTTCCCGTTGCTCAGGAAAGGGAGACGCAGATAAATTCAGCCAGTCCATTATTGGCAGCACTGTCTTTAAATTTAAATATACTCTCTACGATTGTTCTGTACCTGCCGGAGTTACAAGGTAGGCCCCATAATGTAGTAACTCATTTCAAAATCAAGGATTAGGGAAGAAAAAAACCTCTGTGTATGTATATACTCTGTCTTTGTTTGGGCAATTCCTGGCACAGCTATATAGAGACTATTTACCGCCGCTTCTGTATCTCACAGTTCACAGAAACCCTTTGGCAGCTCAGTCTCAGCGTAGTCTCAGAGAGCATCAGGAGACTCAAAAATGAGAAGATATTCAGAAGAAACCTGTTGAATAGTTTGGTTAGTTCATAAGCGTGCTTATTCTTTGAGAGTAAGCCAGTCTGCTCCCCAGCTGGTCCTCAGAAGCCTTCTGTGTTAGATTACTTTAGGAAGAAATTCTTTGTTCAAATACAGATCAAAGAAAACGTACACAAAGTGAAGGCACAGATTGGTGTTATAAACTGTGTTTGAACCCCAAGAACTTTGCAGAGCATCGGTTTCTTGTTCTTAAGGCAAGAAAGACTTTCTTACGTCCCAAATGTGGTCAGGAATGTTGAGGATATTTTTAACTTGGACATGTTGTATCCTCTGTATTTTTGTGGGATACATCTACTGCAAGAAGTGTGACCAGCTTTGTATTTGACCCAAATACCAAAAAATTCACATTTCTTGCATAGCTGAGTAAATGCAGAAAAAGTTCCATTTTAAAATCTGGTATTTCCTGACTTTTTTTAAAAAAAAAAACTTTAGTTTTTTTTCAATTATAGCTTTCTGCATTTATTTTCCTTTTGGAAGGAAAAGGACGTCCTTCTTTGCCTATACACAAAAAGCTACCTTGAGCAGAATGAATAAATTGCAAGCTTGAGCAGCTTTGCCAGCAAATTTTGGAAAGTCTTTATGCTATACTGGGCCCACAGGCTAGCGGTATTTCATAGCTCCCCCATCACTTTGTCTTCTCAGAGTAACAAATACGTCTGTATGTTTTGATAGAGGTATTTTACTAAGCTGTGATGACCAAATACTTACTAAATAGATATTTTTTTCCAGACCTCTTCAAGACTTTAGTTAGTAATTATGTCCAAAAAGTCAAGCCTGAAGTAAGTTTTTGACTGAGGTGGTCCAGAGATGAGATATTATATTGTAGCTCTTCCTTCCAAAACATCCTTCATTGCAGTTGATGCAATGGACATCTGTTGGGCTCAGTACAAATGCTTTTCCCTCTTTATATGAAGCTGTCGAGAATCTGAACTCCTCAGTGTTCACCAAAAAGCGCTCCGATCAGTTAACTGAGTATTAAGGTATGCAACCAGTTAATTGGTTCTTAATTTAAGCTTGGGAGAGAAAAATGTGCAAACTTTATTGGAATGTTTCATCTGGAATGAATCTTGAAATTGGTCTCCACGTTGTGACCAGTGATTACCTGCATGCTGTCTGGTATTTTTCTGAGCAGTTGTTGTGGGGTGTAGGTATGATAATAAGATGATTGATGGTGAAAGGTAGGGGTTAAGCAGGATCTGGCATATATTTGGTTTTGGGGTACCCTTATCTCATGTTTAAGCTGTTGTAGTAAATAGCTTGTTTTTTCATTATCTTGGAGCTGCCCTTTCTGTGCTGATTTTCGGTTTTTCTAATTAGAAGGGTATTTTAGTGAAAAGAGCGATCTCAGACCTTTGTGAAATTTTCTGCTAGTACAAATAATGGTAAATCTGAAATCACTTATTAGACAAGAAGTTGTTATGGCAACTATAAGATGGTTGGCTAATCAGAGAGTGAGATCAGTTTTTATTTACAAGCATAATGAGCAATTAAGTTTGAGCAGCTGTCAGACTTGGAAAGTGATTAAAGTTCAGCAAACAACCCAAATGGGTCAGCGTTCAGTTCTGGTGATTTTCTGACACTGCAGCTTGATCATGTGTGGGTTTTACCTACTATAATTAAAACTGCCTTTAAAATCCCCATCTATGCCACAGACTTGGCATAGCTAGCGAGTAATGAAAAATCCCTCTTCCAACCAAGTTCCTTAAAGACTATTGGCCTTGATTCTTGCTGCAGCTAATGAGGTATTTCACGTGTAGCATCCCTTAAAGCAAGCCTTAGTTTGCATGCTGGCTTGCAGAATCATCTCCAGGCCGTTGATGATCACCAGGAGAGAGATGAAATGGTGCAGCCTCGCTCAGGCAAGCTTTACACCTCTAAAGGGCACTCTTTCATAAAAGGCATCATTATACTCGTTGGTTGCTTAGGAAGCTGTGCTTGGCTCGGAGGAAGGACGTGCACAGTGTACGTGAATGTAAAACCCAAAAGAAGTTGAGAAAGTCTTGGTTCACCCAGAAATGTAAGGGAATGCCCGGGAGAGGCTAACCTCAGCTGGAGCTGGTGAAGCTCAGTCGTTCAGCTGGCCACCAGCGAACGGGACCAGGCTAGTGCCTTTGGTGGTACTCACTGCTTTCCCAAGCAAGAGCAGTGACACTAACCTATATCAGTGTCACACTGCCAAAAAGGCTTCAGTAGGTTTCGTGTTTGTTATTCGGTATCCTGTGACATCTCCTGTGTTGTTGATTAACGAGCTGTAAGCAGCAAGGACCAGAGAGGTGGTTCTCTGTAGATTCCAGAAGATCGTGTATGTTCACACTGGGGAAAGTTCCCTTCCCATCCATCCTCTGCAATTTTCAGAATGCACTAGATCGGCCGTTTTCATTTGCTAGGATTTGCTTCCCCGCTCCATATGGTAAATAAGCCAAACTGTTTGTAAGCTGTGCTCAAGATCTGTGTTCTAGTTAGAATTTTAACTGTCCAAGGACCAATATAGTTATTTTCCAAAAGTATGCTGCAGTCCCCTGATACGTTTACATTGGTTTTAATTTTACGACACTAATAGTATCATGTAATATAGGCGACTGCAGTGGAATGTGAAATGCATTGGGACAGTTCCTGACCTGAAGAATTTACAAAGTCGTATGACTAGATGACACGAGCTGGTGAATGGGGACTTAGGGGAAAATTAAAATGACAGTCTCAGAAATAGGCATTTGCATACTTGATCTGAACTTACGGTATTTACATTTTCTGTTTATCAGTCTTTTTCAGGCTTTCCTACGGCAGTGACACATGAGAAACAGGGCTGTAGAAACAGAGCAGAATTTTTAATAGGGTTATTAGAGACCAAGGAATCTGCATTTCTCAGCCTGTACAAGACGGAATTGCACACATATATCTTGTTATTATTGTTGCCTGATTTGCACTCAGGTTTCCCGAGAAGATCGTTTGGAAGTGTTTAGCCGCTAAGCTTTTGCAGGCAGAGCGAGCTTGGATTGTTGGAACGGGCCGCTGGCAATAGAGCCCTTCAATGACAGCAGCGTTGGCAAAAGCGATTCCTGTTACCTAGCGGAACAGGAGCCAGCTCTCCCCTCTTCCCGTGGTGAAAACGCTTAGTGTATTCCAGACGCTGATCTTCAAGCCGTGGAGATATTGGAAAATTTGAATGGGATCAGAGCTAGCCGCCTCTTGCACAGGCCTGCTGTCATCTTGTAGAGCAGTGTGAGCGAAGGCTGCAAAATTGAAAAGCAAACTGAAGCATTTCACACTAGAAAACGTGAGCTTGTCAGCCCTCAGAAGCTGCAGACTCCTCGCTGTCTAGTTTGCTTTACGTGTGGGATAATCGTTTTCCAGAGGACACAGCTTTCACCTTCGTAGTTGTAGATGTATGGGAGAACTGGGTGTGGGAACATGCACGTGAAATAGTCCGCGGCAAGAGTTGTTTTGTTTCATTCATAACACATTTTAATTATCGTGTATGAACATTTACTTAAAAATCTGCTGTAGCCTGCTGCAGCTAAGGAGTAAACTTGTTTGTAACTGCTTTTTTTTGTAGGAATGAAAGATTTTGACTTTTTTTCCCTCACTAAATGTAATTAGTGTTTTCAGTTTATTTTAAGCTTGTGAGAATGTGGGCAATTGACTTTAGGAGTAACTTGTAAAAAAATAATATAAATAATACTGCTGTAGGAGCCTGATGGATTATCTTTGCCTTATAGTTTGTTTGCAGCAAACATGTTACAAGTGAGTGGGTGGGAGGGGGAGTTTTAAATATATGGGGATGGATTTTTAGAGTTTGCAGCTGACGTGGATTAAAAATTCTTAGAACATTCATCCATGAAAGGCAATTAGTTTTGTTTTATGAATATGAAAAGCACGTAGCTTGTAAGTACTGGAGTGAAGTCCCAAGTGAGTTATTAGAACTTGCTTTACTCATGTAGTACAAAATTAGCCATCAAGAGCTGATAGATTTCAAATATAGCTCACTGACACACTGATCATCCATAACTTTTCATAAAGACATTTTTTCGGTCTCACCTGTAATTACTGGGTGCCAGTGAAGTCCTGAACGGGGCAGCTAGTCACAGATCAGGACACCTTCTTGCACTCGATGGTGCTTGCAACGTTTTGTGCAGCTGGCATATCAAATTGTAATACTGCTCTGCCTGCACTTCTGGGTGGTAAAACTGCATCTGGATGCATAGAATATTCCACTCTCTCTCTCTCACCTCCTGGTAGTATATTACTGGTCAAATGCGTTCTTCTGCTTTGTATTGTGGTATTGTTTTTCTGCGTTTTGGGGGGAATGTTTTAAAAAGCAATTTGCAACACTTTATTTAAGAAACCGTCATACCAGTCTTCTGTGTGACTCTTATAAATAAAACCCCACTGTAATAGAGCCTTTAGGCATATTTGTTAACAAGGAAGTTGAGAAATAAATCACTACTTTCAGCTGCCCCTTCTCTCAGATTTGTAAGTTAAGGCTGATAAAATTAATGGAGTCTCCTTTTTTTATTTTTTTTTGCCATTTTTTTTGGCGTTAGTACAAATTCATGTATATGTATTAGATAGTTGTTTAAAAGCTTTTTTGGAATATTGGGGTTGTCTGTTGTGAGTTGTCTTTCTGGTGAGAAAAGCTTCTCAGCTATTAAGGGGTGTTTGGAAAAAGACTATTTTTTCAGCTTCTTTGGCTAGTTTCTTCATCTGGTTTGGTTTTGGTTTGGGGTTTTTTTTGGGGGGGAGAGCCAAAGATTCAGCTATTAAGAAATTTTGTATTTCTGGTGTTGAAGAACAGGCATTATTCATCCAGTATGTCAATGTTTTAATAGCCTAAGTTTCTCATTTAAGGAACTGGTAGCCCTAATTAAGCAACAAGGTAGTCCCCCCCCAGTCATCCAAGTTCCTTGGAAAAATTAAAACAATATAAAAACTCTTTGGCAAGTCGTAGGGTACAATCCAAGTTCTGCCTATGGAAATGACTAAAGATCAGTGTGATTTGGTATATAGCACCAGCTGCCTTACCGTGATGAAAGGAAGAGGAGATTTGGGTAACCATCCCGACGCAGTGACCTGTTGAAACAACGCTGTGCTGATAAATTCTCCCATACAGAGTCATATGGACAAGTCACAGCAGTCGCAGTCTAATTGAGAAAGGCAAATCCGAGGAAGAACGTTTTGTCA